CACGAGCCATGGCTACCATGGCCTGCTTGATGACAATGCCACCGAGGCTATGCGCAATAATGACCAGCGGCTTCGCAGCAGGGCTCGCTCGCCCGATGGACTTCATTTTGGTGATTAGGGCGATGCCAATATCATTAACCCCTTTGACAGACTCGCTGTCGACCAAGGCCGTATCGTAGCCATATATAATACTTCGAACATGGGGAAGGTCGCGAGGCAACCTGTCTCTCAGCCACATGAAACTGGTTCGGGGGCCACGCTGCTGCCAGGAACCAAAGGGATGGCTTGCCAGGCCCGATACTGCAATGCAGTCCAGCGAGTGGTCCTCTGGCAGGACGTCGTTGAGCGGCGTAAAGTCGCGAAAGTGCACATCGATGAGCAGATTCCTCAGGAGGCCGGCCGATTGGCCCGAAATAACCCATTCTGTGTTGTCGCCGTCAAATATGGGCGGAACCCGGTCGAACATAAGAGTCGCGACTTTTGTCGGGGGGATCTCGAGAGGATTGAGGCTCGTGGCGAGCGAAAAGACATGGACGTCCCCGGCGGCGAGACCGGGCACCACGCCGGCGAGGAAGGAAGCGACCTGGGGCAGCGACGTCAAAATACATGGCAGCTGGCGTGCGCGATATGTCTTTGCTTTGTCTGGCATCGACATTCCACTTTGGGCGATGAGCCGTCGACGATGGCCTGAGATGGTCAAGGCGGGGTTGGTTATGCCCGTCGCCGCAGAGCACCCCGACCCGGCGGTGAGCGCGTTTTCTCCCCAACGGCGGCGTGGCGCAGGAGGCGGTGCCGTGCTCCCCCGCTTTCCTCACGCCCTGGGCGAGCCACGCCACGGCTGCCCGGATTGGACAGACATCAGGCTTCGGAGAGTTTACAGCTGGTAAAGCTTATTTCCATCGCCGGGTATCATAACCTGGTGAGTCCTACCATGGGGTGACGAGGGGTTTTGGGGGGAGGGGGGGAGGGGGAGAGGGGGAGAGGGGGGGTTAAGGGTAAAAATTAAGAGCATCTAATAGTGCATTCTGACGGCCTTGTGTCAAAGTTCAGTACCTGGTATTGATTTGTGAATTATTAGTCTAAAAGAAAAAAAAAAAGTGGAAGAAACTGAAAGTAAAACCACGTCTCTTCGTAAGGCCATACATCAAAATCATTCACATGTGATAACCCTCACTAATATCATGGGCCCAATAGGTCCTCGCGACTCCCAAATCCCACAATCCTTTAGCAGCATACGGTGGGACCGGGCTGTGCGTCGTATGCTCTTCTCCAGTCTTCACGCAAGTCAAACAAATTCCCTCAAGTCCCGGAATTAATGCCGTGTAATTCACGGCAGCGGCCTCCCCAAAGCTGATTCCCAGTTCCTTCGCATGATGATGGGTAGAATATACACAGTGAGTATTGTTCTCAGCTGGGTTGGTCACACAGACGGATTTGACCGCAGCCACTGCCTCGTTGAGAGGAATCCGAGCGAGATGGCTAGGATGTAAGCGCGCAACGTCCCCAGAACTCTGGATCCACGCACGCTCCCAAAATAGACTTTGACATTGTTGCGCATACCGGCAAACTGATGGACTGTCGGGACATTCGTAGGCCGATGCATCGGCAATAGATGTGCCAATATCTACAATCAAAGACGGCAAGTCCATCCGGAACTCATTTCGCTTTTGCTCCATCATTGCTTAAAGAGGATTAGACGTTGGAGATGAATGCACAATGTGCCAGAATAGGAGAGAGCCTTACCGAAGAATCGACTTGCTGCATCAGGAGGCATCTGATCGTCCATATATACGCGAGACGGAGGTATGGCTCCCCATCCCATGCCAGGAGTTTTTTTGGTGGTACTTTTGAAGTAGTCCTCTTTCTGAATCCAGAAAGATGCCATAACCAGCTTCCAAAGCTTTTCCGGCTCTTGGATCGCACTGTCGTTAATCCAAGCTTGGAGAGGATGCTTTAAGGCGTTGACGAAGCCATACTTGTTAGCAGCGATGGCTACCTGAAGGAGCAAGTCTGGGCTCGGTGGGTCGTTAATGGCGTCAGGTCGAAAATGCACAATGTAAAAAATCGTCTGTAGGGCATCCTCGTTGTCTTTGGGCAGCGGAATCTCCTTTGGGTCCACTGTCGAGAGGTGGTTGCCCTCACTGAAGTTGGGACCAAACATGACCTTGAAAACCGGTGATGCAGCGCTGAGTATCACCGAGTGCACCCTCATCCGCCTTTTTTCTTTCCCCACAACCATAATGACATCACCGGATGGAGCCACTGTGATAGGTTCTAGGACTGGGGCTAGGGCTTCTCTCTCCAAAACGGGGCTACAGGTAAGCTTGTTGGCCATTTTGGGGGTCGGGGGCTGCGTTTGAGCTGTGTCGGCAGGTCAGGGAATCAACATCTAGATGGTAAGTAAATATTGAAGAGTTTCAGCTTCCCATCACAAGTGGTTCTCCTAAGCTACTCATATACCTATTGTTGGCGGATTTTAGATTGAGATTTCATTCGGCAGCTCATTTGTCGAGAAGCTAGGAAAAATGCCAGAGGCATACATACAATATGCAGTGGGCCTCATTGCCGGAATGATTCATTGGCTCCATATCTGCGAGTCCTCTCGGAAACAAACAACACTGGTCAGGTATATGCAAGAGCCCATGAACCAACGGAAAATCCTGCGTATTATGGGAAAGACAAATAATCATGATATTCGGCCTAACCACTACCATCTCTAATAGGATGTGCCTAACGCTCTTTTGTTCCAATACCAGTCAACCATGGGAACGCGGTAAACCTCGGATATATCGTGAAACCAATGCACAAAGACCAAAGCGCGAGACCAGTCGTTGCCCCCGGCATGTGACGCGGGCAGCCGGGATGCCCTTGAGTAACTGGCGACTCGGCGGGCGAGCCGCCAGCAGGACCGCGTGATGGATGGCAACCGCTAACTCGGTGGCCGTGTGGAGTAAGCGGCAAAGGAGCAGGTATTATTGTTATTCGTAGACGGTATTGGCGCTTAACACTTCCGTAAAAAGCCTAGATGTCGAAGCCGCCCATGAAATCTGAGGCCTTTCTAACATGGAGAACAGCATTTCTGGTGTTTCGAAAGGCATATTTTTACATTTCAAAAAGGCCATTCCTACATCCGGAAAGACCTCGAGCTGTTCTTTCTACGGATGGGGGATGGGAGATTAGAAAGAAACCTGTGGCAGGCCACGAGACATGCTCACTTTCGGCAGCGTCAAAGTCTCGCGCTGGCTGGAAACAAACAAAGGTTGCATTCAAGTTGTACAGGAAATCAGGCAAATTTGTGCTCGACTTGATAATCTGCAACACTGCAGTCGCAAAGCCCTCGCTCACGCACACAGTGCTTGCATATGTATCGCACCAAGCTGTAAGGATTGTTGTACTCCATGTCCCAGGCTCTCTGGGCCGCCGCCCGTGCCGAATTTGAAGAGGCCGTGACATTGCCAGCTGCTGCGTTGGCTTTGGTGGTTGCCACGTGGGCCTTGATATCGGCCTCCAGCTTCTGGACCGCCGGTCGGTATTTGTCCGCAATGCCGTCGAGAATAAGAATGTCGTCGCACACCAGGGAGTAGACACCTTTTTTGAACGGGTTCAAACTGATGTTCTGGCTGCAATTTTAGTGCGTGCAATGGATAACGTTGCAAATCCAAGCCACGGTGGAATATTGACTTACACCCAAGTCCCCTAGCCGCCCTTTCTCTGCGACAACCTTGATGGACTGTTCCAAGTCTGGGTAGTTGGGAAGGTCCCAGAAGACGTTGATCGTGTTACCGGATTCCATAATCATGACAAAGTCGTCGCCGAAACCCAGCGAGACCAGCTTGGGAGTGGCGGTAGTCCAAAGCCCATTGTTCAACATACTTGAAACCTTTTGTTGGAGCTGTTTCGGCAACCCTTCCCAGACCCAGGAGCTTCCATCCGTCGCCCAGAAGCGACCTTGTGTAGGACCAATTGAGACCTGAAGCTTGGCAAAGGACCTTATTGCTTGGCCACTGCTGTTCTTTTCGAACAGCCACTTGTTCAAGCCGGGTGCAACGCGAAAAGCCTCTGTGGGAGTATTAGTAGCTTCCAAGGCATCCTCAGACCGTGAAAGCCACACTAGAAGAATAGCATACCCATCAAAATACCCCGAGAACATGGCTGCTTGTAGGCAATGACAAAGCTGCCCCCTGGTCCAAAGGCCACGTTCAATGTGGTGGCGATGTCACCATCCCGGAGGGACTCGACAATACCAGGGGGGAGGTCGTTGCTGCCGTTTGTGCATGTCAGCTTTGACAAGCAAATGACCTTGCGCGGATCAACATAATGGTCCCTAAACGTACAAACAGCGTCTGCTGGGGCATTCGAGCAGGTAGGTATCCCCCTCTCCGAAGGCTAAGGCTGTGTCGCACATGCTATCGGAATCGAGAGATTGTGGATGTTATTGAGTTGGTTAGCGAGCGTTGAAGAACGATGACATTAAAAGCCGAGAGGAGATGTGTGATATAGGGAGGTGATGCAGGAGCCAAAATTGAGTCCTAGAAAACGCCACTTTCGATAAAGCGATGCTCCAAGCTGAATCCGGCGGCAAGACGTGCGGCTGACCTGAAAAGATAGGGGCGGTGGGCATCGGGAGCCTTGTGAAATCCGCGGCTGAAACTGACAGAGCTGCTAGCGATATGAGGGTCTTGGCAGGAACATTGTGTGGCACTCCTCTAAATATCAGAAGACAGAGCCTCAACGAGACTCCTCGTTAGCATGCCAGTGAAAACTGTCAGATTGTCCACGATTGGACAATAGCAACAGCACACTTTGACCGAGTCTTGGGGCGTTCCCATATCTCCCAAACTCGCCGCCTTGAGGAAACGAATAGAATCAAAAGAAAGAAAAAGAGAAGAAAAAGCAAGACCTCTCAAGTGTCCAACGGAGCGTGTTGAACTGGCAGACCCTATGGTTGCAAGTCCATCGTGTTTGTGGCGTGTTAGTAGGGAACTTTGGTAAAGATTACAGGCATTGTGGCAGAGTGGTCTAATGCGATTGACTCGAAATCAATTCTCTTCGGAGGCGCATGTTCGAATCATGCCAATGTCGACACAAGAGATCCTGACCAATCTCTTATTTTGATCTTTTTGCACTTCCCCGCGGTAGATCCCACGGATTGGCACACTAGACTTTAATGCGTGGTGGTGATGTTTATGTTTTTGGCATAGGGCCCGCTTGCTGATGACTTTCATCATCTTATTAGGTAAAAAGGTGTTGGAGGTGGTGCCCCACCTCGAGGGTGCAGGGTACACCTCGCCTACCTAGTGCCTTTGGGCCACACATACGCAAGTAGATAGCCGTTGCAGGGCCAGGAATTCCTGGCCCACAACACCACACAATCCATCACCACTTTCCACTGCTCTATCTTGCCCACAAAAGGTCTTACCTATTGGACACCAAATATGGCATTTCAAATGCTGGGAAAGCCTAGTTCAAACTGGATATGCCTTTTGAAATGCTAGAATGCCTCTTTTTTTTTTATGAAACCAGCCACGGATACCGTCAATGAATAACAACAATATTAGTACCTCCTCGCCGCTCGCACCACCCAGCCACCAAGTCAGCCTTCCGGCTCCGGTTACGTAGGGAGCAACGATATCATGCTCATCGCATTATACCCGGTCAGGATCTGGTCGGCCGCCCGAGCCGCGGCCCGATCCGCCAGCTCTGTTTCGGTGTCCCACCGCGTCGCACACCAGATGCCATGGCCGCGGCGCCACGACCAAAGCATACTGCTCCCCCCCCCCCCCCCCCGCGTGCCCTGCGCGAGGCCCAACGCAATGGCGATGGCACCCACCACCGCAAGCGCAATGCCCAGATCCAGGCTACGTAGAATAAGACGACCCCGATATCCTCGCTCCATACGGAGCCGGAGGGCTGACTAGGTAGGTGATTATGTGGGGCGAGCGGTTGACGGTAGCCGTGGCCGGTTTCCTCTTGTTTGTTTCAGTCTTTGCCGTACATCGGCCCGACGCGGCGGGCCGACGCGGTCACAACTACAACTAGATATGACTTCCCCCCCTCTTGGCCGTATTCCTCTCCAACCCAACAATCAAATTCACATGCTGACTCAACGCCACCACGCGGCCCGCCTCATCAAAAATGACCACCTCCAAATCGAACCGGCCGCCCTGGATTACCTTGGGCTGGATCCGCATCCTTAGCCACTCGACCCCCGCCTCGGGCAGCGCCCGCTTCACCTCGACGTTCATGACCACGGTCGGATACCAAAACACGTCACCGTGCGCGAACGGCCCGCCCTCCTCCCCCGCGGCCGGCCGGTACGCCTCGACCGGGTACGGCAGGCAGTCGGCGACGAAGCCCAGCGCCTCGGTAGTGAAGCCCTCGCCCGACGCCATGCGGATCCACAGGTCGAACACACCCAGCTGCGGGTGCCCGCGCCGCGGCACAAAATACTGCAGGTTCTTGAGGCAGACGAGGTGCGCGATGGGGCTGCCGGCCATGTGGCGGAATGCGGTCCAGGACGGGTCGCTGTCGGCGCGGAGCGCGGCGAAGTCGGGGGTGGCGGGCGGCGGATGCGGCAGTGCCCAGCCGGTGGGTAGGGAGAGCCCGGTCTCGGCGGGCAGGTTGTTCATGGTGATGTAGGCGGCTACCTCACGGCGGGAGGCGCCGGGCGAGATCCAGGGGGCGTGGGGCAGCAGGGCCGACTGGTACAGGGTCAGGTGCAGGGTCGAGAACTGGCGGCCGGACTTCACGTCCTCGATGACGATGATGGCCGGGCCGGCCTCAGTGCGTGTGAAGTACTCAAAGTGCGCCGTCATGGGGTGCGGCTGCCCCCGCGGCGCGAGGTGGTCCATGGCCGCGCGGAGGAGGCATGAGCCGACGTACCCGCCGTTGGGGACTAAGGCGCGGGGTCAGAGAGAGGTGAGGAAGGGTTGGAGTGGGGGGACACACCGAGGCCGATGAGATAGGACTCGCTGAGGTTGGCCCTGTACGTCTGTGAGTCGAGTTTCTCGATCTTGACGGCCTTGGAGAAGGGCATCAAGATGGGGTTGGACTCCTTGAGGAACGCCATGGCGGGCAATGACTAATCAACGATACAGATGGAGATACTGATAGAGATGCAGTGGAGATACGGATAACTCGTAAAAGGGGGACCTCAGGAGTATACTAGGTATACGGCGTAGTCTTGGCCCGTCTCACTCAGATGCCTAGCTGCGGTAGTTACTGGGCCCCGCATTTATTAGCCTCGGCTACTGGTTGAATTGGAGTGACATCAGCGCCAAGTGATTGATGAAGGTGAGTTGTGAATTGACAGAATGATGGGAGCTACCATGTATCGTTATCCGATATTGACTGGAAGTGTTGAACTGGAGATGAAGGTCGGCGAAAGTAAGTGTCAAGGCGGGCTCTGTGCACCCCGTTAGGAAGGAAATGCGGTCGCCAATCTGTCAACTCGTCAAGCACCTTGCGTCAACAACCCTGAGGCGCGCCCACTTGAGCCGAGAGAGAAAAACTGCAAGGGTAGTTGGCGGGATAAGGCTGAGAATGGGGTACATGAAACATGGGATGATTAGTGTTCATAAATGTATTTTGTTATTTTGTTGGGTGTTTGTTGGATGTTTGGAGCATTTTGGTGCCCTTGAATCCCGGCGCGTCGAGAGCGTCTTGTCGGTCCTGCTCTTGCCCATAAATCAATCAGCTTAGCCAGACAGGTAAGACCCACTTGCCTCGGCTGCCACTTGCCAGGGGAAATAAGTGATTAGTGGGGCCAAGACTGCAGCCAGCAAGCCATGGCCAAAGCGTCAATCCTCATCACCAACCAATCTTCCTGCAGCGAACAACGGCAGAGGCAGGAGCGAAAGCGAAAGGACCACGGCCTCCGCTGCCATTGTCGACAAGTGCAGAGGTCGCACCAGCCGCAAGCCTCCACCCGGGAGCGGCGGGACAGGGGGCGTGGGGGCTCCATCCAGGGCATTCGGCTGTCACATGTCAGCCGAGCAAGCGCGTTTATCCCACGTCGCAACTTCAATTCTTTCTTCCTTCTGCACCCCGGCACTCAACACGCCTCACCTCCGTTTGACACTTTGACAGCTCGCCGCATCCGAAAGTAGCCTCGCTCCGATGCACAGACGGCATTCCTGGCTGGCCCGCGCCGCCCCAACGGTTCAAATGTTGAGGCCAGGTTAGGCTCCCAGAATGGTCGGCTAGGTCCCGGCTGCGACGTCGACGCGTTGGATGCTCCTGGCTGTGAATTGACACACCCACACCCAGCCCTGCCGGTGGAGCGAAAGAGGACCTCATGAAATAGCAGGGCTCCCCTCTGCTGGAGTCGAATATGCCATGGAAGCCGGACATGAAAATCTAGAAACCAAATCCCTTCTTCGTCCCACGTTCGAGTTCAACACTCCCATCCACCCCCATCTTCAACACCAGCACCAAACACCGCCCTCCACCCCCCATCCTCACCATGGCCGGTACCACCGTCGTCGACGCGGCCTCGCCGCTGATGGGCTTCGCCCGCCTCAGCGACCAGGTCTACATGCAGCCCGCCGTCGTGCCGACTAATTTGCACATGGTCGACCCGTCGCACCCGACGACAGTCATCATCTACGGCTGGGGCGACGCCAGCCCCAAGCACGTGTCCAAGTACGTCGACGGGTACCGCCGCCTGTTCCCACACGCCAAGCTGGTGCTCATCTTCTCGCCCATCCTGCGCGCCATCATCCAGCACGTCGACGTGCGCACCCGCGACATGGAGCCCGTGCTCGACGCCGTCTTCGGCGTCGACCACACCCACCCCGTCGCCCACCAGGACGAGGCCCCGCCCAAGGCGGCCCAGATCATCGACGACCGCATCCTCGCCCACGTCATGTCCAACACGGGCGGCATCAACTTCGCTTCGACCCTGAACGCCTACCTGCGCCGCCACAACGCGACCTTGCCGCACCGCATGCTCGTGTGCGACTCGACCCCGGGCAGCGTCGACTTCATGCCCAACCTGATGCCGTGGTCGCGCGCCATGGCGCTGGGCGTGGCCTCGTGGTTCCCGTGGCCCTTTGCCGCGACGCAGGTCCTGGCCGGCGGCTTCCTCGCTGCCCTGCACGGTGCGGGATGGGTGCTGGGGCGGACGAGCGCTGCCGAGTTCAGCACGGGCGCTGTTAGCGACCCGGCCTTTTCGACGACGGCCGCCCGCAAGCTGTACCTCTACTCTAAAGAGGACGACATCATCCACTGGCAGGACATCGAGGCGCACGCCGCGCTGTCGCGCGCGCGCGGGTACGCCGTCGACGCCGAGGTATTTGACGGCACCTCGCACGTCGGCCACATGCGCAAGCACCCGGAACAGTACTGGACCGCGATTACGCGGACGTGGCGGGAGGCGGTCAAGGGGAGTGAGGGGGGGCAATAACTCTTTTCACACATAGCCCAATCCCAATGTACATATTATCTACCTTCCTAGAACCAACTTAATACCAACCTACCCACTAGCGGGTCAAATTACTCACCATGCCAGCAGCCCGCTCCCTAAGCCCCACGAGTACGGTGTCCCATGGCTAACCTCGTCCTCCAGGATATTAATCTCGCGCCGGAGCACATCAATCTAAAACTTGCGAAACGCCTCCTCAATGCGCCGTCGACTCTCAGGGTCCTTCGAAATCCGCCGTGCGCCGGCAGCCGTGCCCGTCAGAAACCCCGTCTCCCGCCGACGAAGAGCCCGCCGAGCCTAAACGCTAGATACGTAGCCGGGTCGGTCCACCGCGTCGGGCGGATATACGGCTCCAGATCCAGCGGCCGCTCTAGTCGCCCCATCATTCCCTACTCCTCAACACGACTAGATCAATGAATGGATACGATACGTATCGTGCCGCCCGTTTGACATGATGACCTCAGTCGGCCGCCCCACTACCCACATGGTATCCCACAACTTGACTCGGTTGGAGTGGATGCGCCGCGCTCCGGTCAGCCCGAGCCCGAACCCGGAGAGCGAGCCGACGAGGGCGTACGTCGATACGCGCGAGGCGGCGTCGCAGACGCGCTGCCGGTCGGCGGGTGAGAGGTCGTTCTGGAGGTGTCCCCCGCCAATC